ACAATGCCATGTTGAAAATGACCCTTGTAATGAGCTGATGACTAATGGGAGACATAAATAGACAAACATGATTAATAAACAAACCCCTACAGCACCAGCAAATGATTAGTTTGTCTTTATACTGTATGTCAAGTGGCAGATTCATATATGGCTAATTATGACGTTCCTCATCTAGGGTTGGGGTTCTTCCAAATGTGTTTATGCTTGATTGTTGTCGTGTTTCCAGGTGCTGGTGGCTCCTTGCCTGTCAGTTGTCATGTGAACAGTTGGTGTGAGCGTTTACTCTCTGACCATAATCATGTTTTGGTAAAAACAACACTTCCTAGAACAGCTATATTATCTTATTTCTTTTTTTTGGGGGGGGGTAGATCAGCTTTAATATTGCGGATAGATTGTAACTTCCATCAATTTAATTGTCTGCATCACTTCCAATCCCCCATGTATTTTTTCACAAATATATATATATATATATATATATATATATATACATATACATACATATACATACACTGGTATATTCTTAGACAATATACCATGCAGCGAAGAGGCCTAGGGGTGGGATTATGTACTTCTCCTCTCTGGGGGGAGCTCTGAAAGCATGCTGCTTGTGTAATCTGGTTGGTCTAATGTCTATACATGCTCTTGTTAGATAAAAATAGGTCAGGCAGAACAGGGAGATGAGGGAGACAGGTAGATGAGGGAGACAGGGAGATGAGGGAGACAGGTAGATGAGGGAGACAGAGAGATTAGGGAGACATGGAGATGAAGGAGACAGAGAGATTAGGGAGACAGTGAGATGAGGGAGTCAGAGAGATGAGGGACAGGGAGATGAGGGAGACAGAGAGATGAGGGAGACAGGGAGATGAGGGAGACAGAGAGATGAGGGAGACAGGGAGATGAGGGAGACAGAGAGATGAGGGAGACAGAGAGATGAGGGAGACAGAGAGATGAGGGAGACAGGGAGATGAGGGAGACAGAGAGATGAGGGAGACAGAGATGAGGGAGACAGAGAGATGAGGGAGACAGGGAGATGAGGGAGATAGAGAGATGAGGGAGACAGAGAGATGAGGGAGACAGGTAGATGAGGGAGACAGGGTGTTGAGGGAGACAGGGTGTTGAGGGAGACAGAGAGATTAGGGAGACAGGGTGTTGAGGGAGACAGAGAGATGAGGGAGACAGGGAGATGAGGGAGACAGGGAGATGAGGGAGACAGAGAGATGAGGGAGACAGGGAGATGAGGGAGACAGAGAGATGAGGGAGACAGGGAGATGAGGGAGACAGAGAGATGAGGGAGACAGAGAGATTAGAGAGACAGGGAGACAGAGAGATGAGGGAGACAGAGAGATTAGAGAGACAGGGAGACAGAGAGATGAGGGAGACAGGGAGATGAGGGAGACAGAGAGATGAGGGAGACAGGGAGACAGAGAGATGAGGGAGACAGAGAGATGAGGGAGACAGGGTGTTGAGGGAGACAGGGTGTTGAGGGAGACAGAGAGATGAGGGAAACAGGGTGTTGAGGGAGACAGGGTGTTGAGGGAGACAGGGAGAGAGATTAGTCTCATATGACAAAATGAAAAGATTAACTAAGAGCAGGCTGTGTGCTTGACAAGAAGCCCATGTGGAATACCTACACTTACCTGTGTCGTTACTGTGGCAGAGAGCATGTTTTACATTAAAATAAAAGGCACACACACATGGTAGCATTTAAGCCATTGTTCTAATTTACTATGGTAAAATTCCAGGTCAGTCTTTGAATTCCGAGATAATTCAATTCCTCTCAATTCCAATGTTAAGTTAAGTCCAATAATTCAATATTATCCCCAACAATTCCCACATTACAATTTGAATTCAATTTCCTCAGGCTTTCAGGCTGATCATGTCACTGTTCTGACAGCCTGGAAATATATAAATATAAGTTGAAAATATTTAAAACAAATCCTGCAGTCAATATTTGATACTAAGTGCATTAATACCATTAACTGGGAAATGTACCAATATTGAATTCCAATTCAAGTCAATTCCAAAGATTAAATGTTTTTACAATGCCAATTCAATTCCAATTCAAACAGTCTAAACAGTATAATTTCAATTCAATTCCAATTCCATAATTTGAAGATAGTTTAAATTAAAATGGAATTAAATGTAAATTATCCACTTCATGAGTGAATTAAATAAATCCAAATTAAATTGGAATTAACCCCAACCCTGCAGAGGATCTCAGTTGCAATGTCCCCACAGTGTCACAGCACAAGGCTTGGAGAGGAAGGACTCAACATGTCAACCTGGACCAGGGATGACAGATGCTATGACAATCTCCATGTCAACCACTCTGTGGCCAGCGTAGCCCAAAACCAGGTCTACAGATCATAGGTGTCACAAGGCACAAAAGAACACCTGGTAGAGTGCACAGAACACAGACTTCTTGTTCATCTCTAAAGCATACAGTATTATTTACACATTGTAAGAAGCAGTGAGTCAGGCCTATATTACAGTGACCTACTAAATTATTATATCATGACTAACTTTGAACAAAATGACAGGATTGTAAAAATAAAAAATAAACACATGCATTAGTGTTCTTCTGCAAATGTCACAAAGAAATAAATATGGTCATGAGTATATCATTCTAAGAGACTTCACAAAAAACGACAAGCACAACGACAGAGTAGGGATTTGAAAGAAGCTACTAGAAGAAATATTGAAGTAAGAAAATAAAGGCAACATATTCAAATCTAAGTCAAAATGTGTTTCTGTAAAATATACCCCTCATTTGTTTTATGCTGCTCAATGTAATACAATTCAGTAACAGCAGAGGGCACTCAACTCTTTATTTCTATGCTTTTGGTCCAATGCAATAGCCATATAGTCTCACTCAAGCCAATTTACCACAATCCTGTACATCACATTAGATTTAGATTTAGAGAGTGCACTAAGTTTTACCCCTTGGGTATTGGTCAAAACTATTGGTCCAATTTGTCCTGCTAGAATCAACTGCCTCAAGCTCAACCCATTGAAGGCCTTGGAGAGGTGAGCTGTTTCTTTAGGACATGATGTTTGCAGTCCTAACACACCACACCCCTCTCAGTTCCTTAGATAAAGGTGAGAGAGCAGTCATTTCAAAACAAGGCCACCCTCACCTCACTCTCATAACTAGGAATATTGTATGTGATATGGCTATTAAAGGAGAATGACTATTAAACCCTGAAGTAAACAACATTTTAAAAACGGTATTAACTCCCATAAAAAACTCCCATACCATGCACGTTACTCTTTCTATGGTCAATGTCATGCGTGTGTGATCCGACTGTGATCAAAAACATGACTCAATGCTAATTATATCCAAACAGACAATGATAACAATGTTAACCTGTTTAAGGTCTCTCTCCCTCTCTCTCTCTCTCTCTCTCTCTCTCTCTCTCTCTCTCTCTCTGTCTGTCTGTAGACCTAATAGACAGTAGACAGACATCACCCCATTCGTTTTGTTTGCCACCTCAGGATGTTTGGGCATCAGGCAGGAATGGTATATTTGAATGTCAAATAGCCATGCAAACAGCAATAACCATCTGCCTTGTGCACACTAACAAACTCCACTCAAGAACAGGATCCTAGGAAAACAGGATGGGGTGGGTTCATTCTAAGAGCAGTGATTATTATGGGTGTACATATACATTAATGACGGAGTCGCAGGTGATGTCATCTCTGACTAAGGGAATCATTAAAATAAGAGAATAAGACCTGGGCCCGGTTTCCCAAAAGCATCTTAAGGCTAAGTTAATCTTAGAACCATAGGGTCCTAGCATGCTAGCAGATACCTATAGACTTTTGAGTCATTGCGCTAACGCTAGTTAGCATTGGCTCGCAAAACTACCTCTAACTTCCTTCATACTGGACACAGAGACATAAAGATGATATCCACTAGTTTATCTGACTACACGGAAGTAGATAAAGGGCCTCATTCCCAAGATCCCGAAGTATCCCTTTAAGATGCTTTTGGGAATCCGGGCCCTGGTCTTTTTAGGTGTTCTGAAAGGCTGAGACACTTGGCATATTTAGAATGCAAACTCATTCTCACTTGGTTAAGGGCCATTTCCTGTTAGAGACCAAGCAGTCGCCCACTCCCTCTGCTTCATCTACACTGACCTCTGAAATGACAGTCAATCCTCAATGGTTTGGATTACAGGAATGTCAACATTAGCCTTAATAAAATAGGTTCTAATTGCATATCGGAGTGCAATTTAACTTATGCCACCTTCTCTACTTTCACTCCAAAGGCACTGGAATGAATACAGGCACATTACAGTCTTAAGTACACTATTACAATAGCTTTTGTAACATAATGAGGTACAAATTAATAATAAACTTGGGAGAATTCAGCAAGGGGATATTACAAATAGAAATTCAACAAACAACATGGATTATGACAATCCTATCAGCTAAAAAGGGTCATATTGACCCTTGACATTTTCTGTTAATGTTAAATTGTATGTAAGTTTATAAACACAGGAAGTGCCACAATGCTGAATACAACTATTTCAAATGTCTCGCTTTTACCCCAAGGCCAAGCACCATAGAAGTTGTAACTGAAGTGATACACACTGTTAGCTAACACCAAAATAAAAAAATGTTAACTGTCATAAAACAAAACAATCTCAAGAAGGGTTGTCACGGGACTAGCTGCAGAGAAAGAACCTAACCTAACCTAACCCATGGTCTCAACAGTACAGAAACACACTGTACAGCAGTATGTACAGAATCTACAAGTTTACACAAAACAGTGATCATATTTCACTTGTGTGGTTACAGTTTGATTTCTGGGGCCAGGGGAGAAGGGGAATAAGGGAGGGAGGGAGAGAGGGGTAGCTTTTTGGCAACACCAAAGGTGTCACTGTAGTGCGAGGTGGTGGTCTTGTCGGGGTTAGGGTTGAGTTGGGGAAGGGGGGGGGGGGTTAACAGAGGTGACAGGGCGTCCCTTTTTAGAGTGATTCTGGCTTTGGGGTCACCACCATATGGGTGAGAATGTCTATGAGGTGGTCCAGGCCATAGAGGTAGCCGTCCTCGCGGTTGCCCTCCTCCCAGGTGGCCCTGTGACTCAGGACCTGTCCTTCAGGCAGAGGGGTGGTCTTCCCAAAGTCTATCATCCACACCTTGGCCTGCCCCCGCTTATCATGGATGAACAGCAGTGAGCTGCCAATCACCTGGGGAAGGAGAGAGGGAGAGAGGGATCCATCTTAGTCCTCAAAACACTGAGACCTCTGGCAGGACAAAGCTCTACAAAAAACACAAACTATCAGCAGACCCATACCAAATAGGATGAAAACATTTAGCTAAAATAACACATTTCTTTTTCTGTTTACAATAGGCTAAAAATAGAGGTTTCAAATAGAGTTTGGAATGTGTGCATGGTAGGCATTTAATAATAATAATAATATTTTATTACGTTTCTATAGCGCTTTTCATAGAATCTCAAAGCGCTTAAAATAAATGTAAGAATAAAGAGGGAGAAGCCTAATGAAGAATATCCTGTTCAGTATGGTCTATAATCGCCATACACAGTATAATCACGTTAAGTATGTTATCTGCATTGAGTAAATATCTGCCCATTAAATCAACATTCTTCAAGCACCCCTCTTATTACTGTAAAGGTAAATCATGATTCAGTTGTATTTGACTACTGTATGTACATAGTTAATTTACTGTTAAACTTTATCTTATGACATATTTGATCAAATGGTTCTATGCTTTCTGTAGTTAGTTGACAGGGAAAAGACATGGTACTGTACATATTTTTCTGACTATTATATGTTACAGGTGTGTCTGACTACAGTATGTCTGGACAGATGGTTGACGTAAATGGGAGTCCAAATAATCTTATTAATCAGCTATTCCTGAGTCTTCATAAAATGTCACTATAAAGACCCACTGACTTCACATAGAGTACGCATATCAGAGGGATTAACAGACACACCCTGTACCTAATGTACACACCCTGTATTTGACTCCACCTAAGCAGCAGGACATAGGTTATTCCAGAGAGGTTTGTTCTAGGGCCTGTGTCTCAATCTTTCCTCTGAAACGCCACAGCACCTTCAGGAGCCTGACTACGCTTCCTGTTTAGAATAACAATGTCCTGTGATTGGTTGGTGTTTGTGTGGATGCCATTGTTCATGGGTTTCCACTGCACAGATTGTAGCCTCCTGTATCTGTTGAGTGGTACATGGGCGGATCTCAAATGCTTCCATTTCAGTAAATGTTACAACTCAAAAATACCAGCGGAGGACAAAAAATAGCTTTGTTTACCTCGTGGGTCTTGAAGAAGGTTGATCTTTCCAGAGTGTCCCTGATGTCCTTCAGTCGGTCCAGATAACAGTTCTGAAAACAGACAGATGAGAGCACAAGATGTATTATTAAAACTACCCAGGGTGACGTGGGAAAATCTGAGCTGAAAAGCTTTCATTATTTCAAGGCTCAAGGTTTTCTCTAATTTTAACCTCACAGAAAAATGTAATGATCATTACACAGGTGCACCTTGTGCTGGGGAAAATAAAAGGTAACTCTAAAATGTGCAATTTTGTCACACAACAATGCCACATATGCCTCAAGTTTTGAGGGAGCGTGCAATTGGAATGCTGACTGCAGGAATATCCACCAGAGCTGTTGCCAGAGAATTTAATGTGCATTTCTCTACCATAAGCCGCCTCCAACGTCATTTTAGAGAATTTGGCAGTACGTCCAACCGGCCTCCCAACCGCAGACCACGTGTAACCACGCCAGCCCAGGACCTCCACATCCGGCTTCTTCACATGCGGGATCGTCTGAGACAAGCCACCCGGATGGCTGATGAAATTGTGGGTTTGCACAACCGAATAATTTCTGCATAAACTGTCAGAAACCGTCTCAGGGAAGCTCATCTGCGTGCTCGTCGTCCTCACCAGGGTCTTGACCTGACTGCAGTTCGGCGTCGTACCGACTTCAGTGGGCAAATGCTCACCTTCGATGGCCACTGGCACGTTGGAGAAGTGTGCTCTTCACGGATGAATCCCAGTTTCAACTGTACCGGGCCGATGGCAGACAGCGTGTATGGTGTCGTGTGGGCGAGCGGTTTGCTGATGTCAAAGTTGTGAACAGAGTGCCCATGGTGGACCAGCTTTTTGGGGTTATGGTTGTGGCGAGCGGTTGCTAGCAAGTTGTAACAGTCCCCTTTGGCCGTGGGTTACCATAGACAATGACACATAATTGCATTTTATCCTGAGGCCCATTGTCGTGCCATTCATCTGCCGCCATCACCTCATGTTTCAGCAATGTCGCAAGGATCTGTACATTCCTCAATGCTGAAAATGTCCCAGTTCTTCCATGACCAGACATGTCACCCATTGAGCATGTTTGAAATGCTCTGGATCAACGTGTACGACAGCGTGTTCCAGTTCCCGCCAATATCTAGCAACTTCGCACAGCCATTGAAAAGGAGTGGGACAACATTCCATAGGCCACAATCAACAGCCTGATCGACCCTATGCCAAGGAGATGTGTTGCGCTGCATAAGGCAAATGGGTCACACCAGATACTGACTGGTTTTCTGATCCACGCCCTTACATTTTTTTAAAGGTATCTGTGACCAACAGATGCATTTCTGTATTCCCAGTCATGTGAAATCCATAGATTAGGGCCTAATTTATTTATTTAAATTGACTGATTTCCTTATATGAACTGTAACTCAGTAAAATCTTTGAAATTGTTGCGTGTTGCGTTTATATTTTTGTTCAGTGTACTTTATTTTTTCCCGATAGAAATAACAGCATTCTCCATGCACTGTAATTTATAAATGGATAAGAGCTATGTAAATGAGTAATCTGTTTGGATAAGGGGATTGTAAATACAAATAGTTCCCTATATTTTGATGTATGTACATTTACATAAATCTTATTCAGAGCGACTAGGGTTAAGTACCTTGCTCAAGGGCACATCAGCATATTTTTAACATAGTCTGCACAGGAATTCGAACCAGCAAGTTTTCGATTACTGTTCCAGCGCTCTTAACCGCTAGGCTACCTCCTGCCCTTAAGATTTCTGGAGACGAATGTGAAACCAGCCATAAGGAAGCAAACTGAAAATTATATCAACATGACATGTATTGCGGCCCCTTTCCCACAGTGAAATAGGCTATAAATAGCTGTGCCGTTATTTAGAATTTGTATTGTGTGCCCTCATAATTTGTGTGGATGAAATTTGGACACCCAAGCTATAGGCTTCTTTAGGGCTGAACCTGCCGAGTTGTTGTATGCACTTTAGAATGTTTTAATTATAGCCTATGCCCAGGCTTTCCTCCCTTTTATTTTACAATTTGTATCATGTTAAATATTAGCCACTATTGGGAGACACCGTCAGTAATACCCACATACATTTATAACTGTCACTTCAGTGTTAGTATTCTTCAATTTGTAGCTTACATTTTGCTTCAATCCATTCCATTCCATTTGTTACACCTTCCATTATTTCATGGATTGAACTTGAATATGACAACAGGATGAACCAAACCACTGTATTTTTAATTCCTCAATATATTTTGTGTGTAAAGGCTCTCCAAACCATTTTTGTAAATGATTCATACATACTTTCCTAACCCTAAAATATGCCTAAATAATCTACAAGATCAGAGTATTTTTATATCTACCAGTTGGTGCTGAAACGGAGACGAAGATGCATTGATGGCATTCTTTCATTGATCCCTATTTTCTGAACTTGTTCTCTCGATGTATTCTAGTCTGTGGACAAAATTCTAATTAAAGGTACACCGTATTTAAAGGGATGGCTTAAGATAAATGTACTGAAAACCCTATTGAATGAAAACTCCACGAGAAAATCTGTTGGCCAGCAAGTGGGAGGGTTGAATGACATTTATTCAGCGCGTGCAAGGGAACCACGCCTGCAAAGCACATTACGCACCTGCATAAGGTAAGTCTGAACACCAACTACTGAGAACTGTGTAAGAAAGGCGTCATTTCCTAAGTCGGAATCGGGCCCCCATAGCCTAGTTGATTTAATTATGTTGAAATGTTTAAGTTTAAATGGTGATGCAGTGCTCCTGTTTTCTTTGTGTTCACTTGCTGTAGTTCTCTTTGGTTCTAAATCAGTAGTTGTTTAGTAAACTGTCAGAAACATTAACTTGCTTGACAATGTTGTAGGTTATTTAACTATTTGTTACATGCAATATTTGCTTTGTGGACTTCACCGGACAGATGTTGCTCTATGGTTTTGAGATTAAACAAATTTGTGGTTGAATTTATTCCGCCACTGTGTGACTGGTGTATTTTTGTTGTCACGGCCTTATTGTATATCATGCTGGCGTATGAACAAATGGGTTATAGAGCAAACAACGCAATTATCACAACATAGGTTGTAATAGTAATATGTTTATTTTCCTGGCTTGGCTTCAACAGTGATTTTACCCACGCACCGCTACTGAATTCCTAGGACCTTTTCTGAGACGATTTGTGGATACAGGCCCTGTATTCATTACAGAACATTACTCATAAACAGACCATTCTATGAATTATGATAACTCCATAGTGCAAACCCTTATGTGGCAACAGCTCAGCTCAGTAGAGAGAGAGATGAAGACCACACATGAGTGACAGTTAAGTACTCAACAGTAGGGTCAAGGCCCACCACACAGTGACAGATAGAGTGTGTTTGGCTTGGCTTGCTAACCTTGGCTTGGGCCTAGTGGTGCCAGATAAACACATGACAAACCAATGTGGAATGGAATGGAGGACATTTTGTTTGAATGTTTAATTTCCCTATTCTGTTTCCAGGACCCCGGGAGAGCTAAATCCCACACAGCCGTCCCGGCTATGACCTCACTTCCTGGGCCATTAGAGAGGGAGAAGTCCTTGGGAGCTCCCTCCAGGGGCCATTTGACCATGGCGCAGGGAGAGGTCTGCCGCAGCGTTAGGGGGCTCCGGCTCACACACACACATAGACGGAGGCACGCACGAGCACACTCTCACTCACACACCGAAAGAATCACAGAGACACATGCACACACACTCACCAGGATGTTCTGGTTTCCTTTGAGAAAGTCGTTGAATGCTTCTGTCACTTGCTCCATGCTCCTGGTCTTTTTAAAGTCTCTGTTTACCGTCCCGTCTTCCTTCTGCACAGAGGAAGGGAAAGAAAGACAGGGTGGGCAGGATGGGGCCTCCAACAATTACATTATGTCTGAGGTCCCCGTATACATGTGACACACTGCTAGCTTGATAGAAATGGCTATCATTCAAGGGGAGGCTAAATAACTTCAAAAGTCAGACCCATACCGTGGCACTTGAGGCATCAGCATGCTTCAGTTCGGCTGATGGCTAGCCGAAGTCAGCTAGGTGATACGAACGAGTGTGCTCGCATACTCCCTTAAAAGATCTTCGCTTGAAAAACGTGAAAAAAGCGGCAATAATTTGTTCATTTTGAGACGCCGTAGCCAGCCTCATAATAGTCCGAATTCATTTATTGAAGAATCCCTACTGTTGAGCAATCACAGACGAAGGGCTGTAGACTTCAGCTACCGACTTCAGCTACCGACCTCGGCTTGCCTCCAGAAAAAAAATTGGGTGCCCGAACAGCCGAAGAAAACCTAACCGAAGTCTAAAACGAACAAAAACGTCACAAAATGTCGTCATAATATACTGTATGCACGAACTCTTCCGAACTGTTTTGGCTGGGAAGCAAGCGAATGCCTTTATGCCTACTACTCAGTAGTACTACTATACTATTATACATAGCCATTTCTTTAAGCAGCAAAACCCTGCTGAAAGAGGTGACTAAAACAGGAAAATGGCCCAACGTTTTGCTTCATCTCTCTAAGACAAGAGGACGTGTCTCCACATACTTAATGTGCTCATATTCTAACTCTACCACAGCACTGTGCTCTACTGTCTCAGTAGAAATGCAGGCAGACAATAATATGGGCATTGAGCTCGGGCCCAACAGACACAACAGCAGCTGTGTGCTCTCTAAAAACTCACAGAGACTTTTGATTCCACACACAGTCTCCAAGGGCAATCCCTGATGTCATGACAACAGAGAGAGCCATCAGAGCTCTGCGGGCCGCGGCCATCTATGGACATGGCTGGAGTCGGGAAAAAGAGAGACAGAGGAGTGGAAATTCCGGACAGCCCTGCTGCTGCTGCTCCCTACGCTGCCAGTCCAGTCTGAACTATTCATCCTGCACATCTGTCTATAGCCCTCCAGAGTCAAACCTCAGGGCCTCATTAGAGGAGACAGATTCTGGAAGACGGTGTTACGGCCCAAACATAGCCAGGATGTCTCCCTCTTGGCTTTAGGAGGAATTAGACTAGCCCTGTGTAATATATTTGCCTAGGAAGGATATGTTGCAGATACGCTCTTTTTTTGTTGCAACCCGCTTTCTCCGAATATGATTATTAGTATGCTTAGCTTTACTGAGGCAGAATCACACGATCAGGCCATCTGTCTGTCTGTCTGTGTGCTGCTGCACTGAATGTATTAGTTTCAGCTTGAAGGAGACTGATGGTGTGTAGGAGCGAATGGGATGCATCAGCAACTGATGTTACTGTCAATAGATGTGTCACAAGCAGGCCCTATGTGTGACAAAAGCACTCAACACAGCCTATACATACTGAGACCGAATAGAGGGTATTCCCTCCTGTTGGCCATGGCAACCCTCAGTATGAGGAATGCTATTAAGGGGCGACTGCAGGGTATGTCTGTACACAAACCAAGCAGGACCATCATGGTCAGCCCTTCTAAGCAGAATTACACTCTCAATTTCACATTATTACTGTTTTCATTATGGATAGATTTTGAAATCAATTTTTTGATTAGTAACTACTGAGTGTACAGACTGGCAGATGCAGTATTTGGTCACCTTCCCTATAGTGTTAACCTTTTCCAATAATGGATGTTAAATGAGTTTTATAGAGTATGACTTTATGTTACAATGCTTCTCTCTACTGCAGGGATAGGCAACTAGATTCAGCCAAGGGACGATTTTCGTCGGAGCGGATGGTCGGGGGGCCGGAACATAATTATAATAATTAGTACTCTGCTAAATTTACCACAACTAAGCCCAAAAATAGATTGTATTTGAAACCTTGATTACATTGAGACACGTTCATATATGTCTCTTTTTTTATTCATGGGAATACCTGGGAACAGATTTCCCTAATTAAACTCATTCTTAGCTGAATTCCTTGTGATTTTTTAGTCATTTTTGATACACACAAAAAACAAAATACACTCCTGTTGTCGACCCCTGCTCTACCGTATATCACAGTGCATAATGGTGTCCATTCACAAAGCAGTTCAGCGGTCCCCACTCCCTTCCCCTATCCCGTGACTTACCTTGATGCCCTCGATGCGGAAGCCCAGTGTAGCGGTGGAGCTGATGGTCTCTCTCCACTGCATGTAGCGGGGCTTGGTGACCGCCTGCTGCTCCTGCTCCTCGGGTGTGGGCGCCAGGGGTTCCACCTCCACCATCTTCTGGTACATGTCCTTCCTCAGACTGGAATTCTTACGGGCCTTGGTCAGCTCCTCCTCCAGGTACGTCCTTTGGTGGACAGAGAAGCAACATCTGTTTGGTACTGACTTTTTTGAATGTGTCACGGTTTCGGCCGAGGCTGCTCCTCCTCCTTGTTCGGGCAGGTTTCGGCGGTCGTCGTCCCCGGAGTACTAGCTATCACCGTTTGATGTTTTCGATGTCTGTTTGGTTTTGTCTGATTGTGTACACCTGTTTCCTGTTTGGTTGATTATGTCTCCTATAAGTTTCTCGTTTGGTTAGTCTTGTGTTGTGTGTTATTGTCCGCCTGTCGGTAGGAGCTGCGTGTTTCTGCTCTGTTTATTTGTTTGGTGTTTTTACGCACGTTTTGCGTAATCGCTCGCCTCTGTTTGTTTCGAGGCCCGTGTTTTGTATTTTGTCACTTTATGACTAGTAAAGTCTGTTGGACTAAGCCTCCGTGTCCTGCGCCTGACTCCTACACCACATCCACATCAGTTCCTGACAGAATGAGATTTTATGGTTTTATGGTGTAACCAGTCCAGCAACCTAATTTATTTCCTTTTATCAGCCATTTGAATACAATCTATACAATATATTGTGCAAACATTGTGCAATACAATAATGATAATTCAGATCTTGTTTGACAAAGCTGTTATGAGTGATCATGTCCCAGGGGCCAACATGTGAAAGAAGAATAACTGTTTTCTTTCACATAATATACTGTAGAATAATTATTGCAGTGAAGACAAGAGGAGGGGTTCCCTTCTCTTCAGTTCATCCCTGAATAAGGGATTTTCTTAACCTTTCCTAGATTAAAATGATCCTTCTCATTCGTGCTGCAGTAGCCAGCTACCTCAATAACAGGCCATTTAGTCTGTTAGCACTGCACCAACTTGTTGTGTTTGGAAAGGCTGGTTTAAAATATGATAACATACTGGCCATTCCAGAGACCGCTCACATAACCAAAGTTGTGCTAGAGAGGAAAGGAGATGAGAGGAGGGAGAGAGCAGGGAGAGTGATGAAGGCCAAAGGGCAACACAGCTATTCGTCACAGCAGTAGAGTATAGGATACTGTAGCAAAACAGGCCTGACCTGTTAGCACCCAGTTCAAAGTGCCTCAGAAGAGTCTCCAATATTTCACTGGTCAGTAATAACTTTGCAAAGTGACTCGGAGAGAGAATAATTACAACCCATATCTGGTATACATCTGATGTAAATTTAACAAGGGAGATTTTGACAACTGTAACACGTACAGTATGTGGAGTTCGGCAGCGTAATAATTCACCCAAAGGAATGGAAGTGGTTTCACAATACTTTCCCCACAGGCTGATTTATGTCATGGTGTGTCTGAGAAGGGCCAGCTGCCTACAGTACATCTCTCCACTCTAGGGGAGGGTGATGGTCACTCTTAGGCCTTACGCCTAATGGATGTCTGCCTGATTGAATGTTGGACCTAACCCTAACCTGTCAAAATGGAACAAAGAGATCTGAGAGCTACAATGATGTCCAGGTTGCTAGCAAACACTGATCTAAGGTCTATTTTCATTCACCCCCGAAAAATTTAAATTAGGATATCCAGAGGGTAAACTGAGATTAGATCTGTGCCTATGTGTAACTTCAACACAGAGATGCATCTATCTATAAAGGTCTGTCAACCCACACTCACCTGACACCCATCTTGCAGTCCATGACGCATGGCAGGTCGAACTCAGAGAGCAGATCATCCATCTGGTTGTACTTCTCCCCGTCCTTCTCCACGTCTCCGTGGTAGGCCGGTACGTAGGGACGCAGCACGTCTTTCATCAGCCAGTCCAAGCAGCGCTGCTCACAGTCACAGTGCTTCTTCAGGATCCGCCCGTTAGCCCCCGCCTTGAAACTGCCTGAGAGGAACCATCACATGCAATAAAAACATTAGAGGATGATTTGTGTTCACAGTAGGCCTGCTTTACTTTGTTTTGTCCTGTTGCTAAAGAAAAGGTATTATCTGATTCTGAATGGACCATTCAATTTCAGGTAGCCTAGCCACAGTATATACAAATAGGATCAAACTCTTAGTTATGCCCTAGTACTGAGCCTTTGAATATATGATTTGCAAGTATATCCCAACACAAGGAGAGTAGAACACAGAATCCCCACATTCCAGAGGCAGCGTTGTCAAGGCCTACCTGCATGACCCGCCAGCTGGATCCAAGGGTACTTTTTCTTGAAAGACATGACGAACGGAGACCAGTTGACCATGATCTTGATCTTCTTCCATGACTTGTGCTGTATGGATGACAAACAGAGGACGGTTCGAGTAAAACTAAATCTCTGGGTGGCAGGTAGCTTAGTGGTTAAGAGCATTGTGCCAGTAACCGAAAGGTCACTGGTTCTAATCCCCCAGCCGACTAGGTGAAAAATCTGTCGATGCGCCCTTGAGCAAGGCACTTAACCCTAATTGCTCCTGTAAGTCGCTCTGGATAAGAGTGTCTGCTAAATGACCCCAAAAAAATAAATCTACTGTGCGTTGTGTTCCTCGCACAATCGGTCTCTTTTCATAACAAGCACTGTAGAATTACAAGAGAAAAAAACACAGAACAATGCCCTGTTGTGTGTGGATGCCATTGTTACTTTATTACACTTAGAATACAGCCCACCACACATTAACATTTGACTCCTTTTGTTGTCATTCATTGATGTAGTTGAGTGTATTATTTAGCAGCTTATGATTCAAATAGGGATTTCTCTCACAGGAGATGGTCACAGAGTCAGTCACACATCTTAACCAATATTAGCATACACCACAGAATTATTTGACCACAGGAAACAACAACAAACAGTAGAAACAACAACAAAAAACATAAGACATCTGGTATCTCTCCACCTGACTGCTGAGGAGAAGAATCTGCAATTGTTTATACTAGAGTACAAATGCTTCCCCATATGAAACCAATTAAACTATATGTGGATGTAGGAAAAAGTGAAAAGACCAGTTATTTCAGTATAACCCAGACAATTGTATAATATACTTCCTCCAACCCAGCTCATAATAACAGTCTGAAGTCTGAAGTGAGTAATCAGCTCATTGATTGGGGATAAGAGCTTATTTAGTTGCTCTGGCTGTTCCTACTCTCTAGAAAATGCTGGGTTAAAAACAACCCAATTTGAGTTCTTTGGTAACCCAGCGCTGGGTAAATATTGGACAGAACACACGCTTGGTTATTTTGACCCAGCCAGTTGGGTTGAGTGAATTACCCAACATGTTGGGTTGTTGGGATTATCCAACCATGGGTTAATTTAACCATCAGTTGGGTAGTTTTTATTTTCATCCTGGGTTGACCTAGCAGCTGGGTCTTTTTTAATGTATTCCTTAGTTTATTTTCAGGAGGGGTGGCTTATTTGAGGTGTGGCTTTCAGATATAGCTTATTGGCCACCCATGTTAAGTTTACAGTTGAAATGTTCCTTTATCTTTTTTTTGCATTTTACACATTCCTCTAGAATATTAAGATTATTTATTACATGTTATAATAAGGTGGTATCTATCCCAACAATGGGATTTTCATAGGCTTTTAGAGAACTCATACACTTCTGTAAGCCTCATTGAAGCTACAAAAATGTCAATGTTCAACCTTAGCATGTTTACAGATAAACAGATAAACAGGAACTATGTGAAAGCCACGCCCCTGATAAACTACGCCTCCAGGCTTCTGATCTGACTTTACCCAGTACTCATCGATTTGGGCCTTAGCCTAGCACCTTTCAATAGAGAGCCTATCACCTCAACCTTTATCTTAAGCTCCCTGGCATCCAGGACCTCTATACCAGGCGGTGTCAGAAGAAGGCCCTAAAAATCCAGCCACCCAAGTCATAGACTGTTCTCTCTGCTACCGCACGGCAAGCGGTACCAATGCACTTTTTGCACAAACTTTTTTGACTCATCATATTCGCTGCTGCTACTGTTTATCTATCCTGTTGCCTAGTCACTTTATTCCTAGTTATATGTACATATCTACCTCAATTACCTCTTACCCCTGCACATCGACGCGGTACTGGTACCCCTTGTATATAACCAAGTTATCGTTACTCATTGTGTAGTATGAAAATGTATGCACTCACTAACTGTAAGTCGCTCTGGATAAAAGCGTCTGCTAAATGACTAAAATGTCAAATGTAATGTATTTATTATTACTTTTATTATTGTGTGTTTTACTTTTCTATTATTTCTCTATTTTCTTTCTCTCTGCGTTGTTGAGAAGGGCCTGTAAGTAAGCATTTCACTCTTAGTCTACACCTGTTGTTTACAAAGCATGTGACGAATAAAATATGATTTGATTTTAATTTAACGGCAGAGTGTTTTTTCCGGTTCCAGCCGAGTTGCTGTGCTCTGCTGATGGTTACACTGTGTTATTCCCCCTCTCTTTAACTTTCCGTCTTGGCATGGCCAGTGCATTCTTCACTCCACTAGCTGCTCTCCACCATGAGGGTTTCCCTTAGCCACCAACCAACCACAGCACTCTGGCCTCTCTCCACGCAAGGCCAGGGAAGCCTTTACCTCCCTCCCCACAAGCACCAGAGCCAGCAGGGTAATATCGTTGTCACAAGCCTGTGAGTTCAGGGCCACCCTAAAACACACCGTTCAGGGTGCTCTCAGGGTACACAGTGAACTCAGGGACTCCCTCACACACACAAACATCCACACATACAATAGCAAGGACAAACGCACAAACAACAGCCATTCGGGCAAACACAGCAGTGAGTCAGTCACAAGAAGCCCCTTCTCTCTCAGTGAGACGTTTAAGAGCAGTTCTTAAGAGTCGGTACCATTAAAATGTACTTCAGGACTTGAGTAATTGCTGGGACATAATCAAGAGAGATATATGCTTGGCTATACTTGCCAAGTTTCAGGAGATATTTTCTCTCAACTGACTTTGAAAAAACAATGACAAAGCAACTTCCCATAGATGGAAAGATATATATCTAGATGTGATTACAAGGTATATGACTATCTTTGGCCAGTGGACGTCTGTTTTCAGTAACACGGTACATTAAGTTACATTAAGACGCTCATAAAAGGCACTGGAGTTCCTCTCAGTGCTGGCTTGGTTTTTCATCACATGAGGCTGTGCTCCTGTTCTAATATAATAATAATAAACTGTTCTCCAGTGGAGGGAGGGGGGGGGGGGGGGGTCACTCAACTTGCTCTTCACACTACAGTGGGTGTGAGAGAGTATCAGACATACACGTGAGTGAGTGCTCTCTCTCTCTCTCTCTCTCACACACACACACACACACACACACAGCACTCGTCTTTCACGTGGTGGAAACTGACTGAACCTGGGGTCAGCGGCACAGAGGAGGCGCTCAGGGACAGGCAGGGCCCAGCCATCAGATACAGGCCTGAGTGTGAGGTTTCCCCTTAGGCCTTTTCATGTGTTTCTTAGCTACGCCACGATCATAACAGCAACACAGCCACACCCTCACAGGACCAACACTAGAAATACTGCACACACAAACACAGGCCTACAACAATACATACATCAACAACAATACATACTCTCTAAAAAAGTAAGCAGTTCGAGGATAATGATGTAGCAATAACATCACACGCATTCCCACAGAGGACACACACCAGATATACAGTATACTCATAAATGCAGTAGTGTCGTTCCACGAAATGTGTGCCTTTTGCGTCCCTTTGATATTTTAAGTAGAAATTGTGCACCAATATTGCATTTTAAAAGCCTGTTATATTCAATGAAGTGCCCTTTAAAATAGACCACATGGAAAATTCAATAAATCAGATTTTGTACATGAATAAAGACTTGCTAAAGTGCCAAAATGCAGCATTTCGACATGTCCCTCCGTGTACCCTTTGTGACCTCTAGGAAGATTTTAACCCCAAAATGTTTTCACCATCATTGTAAAGCCCTAGTAGTTATTTTGTTGCCTTGACAAAGTAATTAGTGATTCATTTACATCTGCCCAGACATTCAACATCTAATAGTCAAATCATAGTCAAATCATAAAAGCAGGTGAGCTGGTTCTACACAGTTTGGCTATTTTCTGGTGTTTGTGGTGGAAAACTGAGCAGATCAAGCATAATATGTCAACCCTGTCACCCACAGATAGACAGGCTAGAAATGATTTTAAAACGATTTAAAATAGCTTTTGTGAGCTTGCATTCAATTGCCACTCCTGTTGCACACAACAAGCTTCCATTCCTCCTGTTCACCAAGAGATTTATTGCCATCCCCTTTACCACTGTTGCAACAAACAAGTTCCATTGTTTTTTTTCCTCCTGGTCATGGAGGATTAGCTGGCCGTACATCGTGTTTTGTACTTTGATTATTGTGGACTTTAGTAAACGTTTTGGACTAAGCCTCGGTGTCCTGCGCCTGACTTCACCCCCACCTACACTCACCTTATGACAGAACAACACACCTCTATGGAGTCAGCAGGAGCAGAGGCGGCACCCAGGTTGCTGGAGGAACAATTACGTTATCAAGACAGTTTATTCCAGCAACTTGAGGCCGCCCTTGACGAGGTGTCCACCAAGCTGTGTCGTTTGGCGACTAGGGAAGTGCTCACGCCATCACCCACTATCCCATCACCAACGACCAGTCCTCCTCTCTCTACACCGGGACCCAGTGGCATTCGGCTCTCGCTCCCGGGGGCATATGACGGTTCTGCAGCCGGGTGTCAGGGGTTCCTCCTGCAGATCGAACTATACCTGGCTACTATACACCCAGCGCCCTCGGGATACGAGAGCGTCTCCGCCCTCATCTCCTGTCTATCCGGCAAGGCGTTGGAATGGGCCAACGCCGAATGGAGGAGAATGGACGCAGCTACTATCACCTACGCTGAGTTCTCCCGCCGCTTCCGGGCAGTCTTCGATCACCCACCTGAGGGGAAGGCGGCGGGGGAGCGTCTGTTCTACCTCCGACAGGAGAAGAGGAGCGCACAGGAGTTCGCACTGGAGTTCCGGACGTTAGCTGCGGATTCGGGATGGAATGAGAGGGCCCTCATCGACCAGTACCGGTGTAGCCTGCGAGAGGACGTCCGTCGTGAGCTGGCCTGCAGGGACACCAATCTATGCTTCGACCAGCTGGTGGACATCTCCATCAGGCTTGACACCCTGCTGGCCACCCGCTGACGTCCCGAGTGGGGGTCGTCCATTCCATCCTCCAGCACCTCTGAGCCAATTCCTATGGAGCTCGGGGGTGCTGGCGCTAGAGAGAGGAGGAGGGAGAACCCGAGG